TACGGAGCATCAACACAGTAGAGGGACTGGATGTTTGTGGACCTGGTACCAATCGGAAGAGCTGCCATGTCTTGGATGATGTCAGCTTTTTGAATGTTATTGGAGCTGCACCCATCCAGGCAAGTGGGAAGAATTCGATCACACTCCTGATTTGTGCCTTGTAGATGGCGGACACACTCTGGGGAGTCCAGAGATGAGCTTTTTGCTTCTGACATGCAGTTGTACGCACAATATTTATATTGCTAGACCATTTCAGTTTCTGATCGATGGTAACTCCCAGGATGTTGATAGTGGGGAATTCAGCGATGATGATGCTATTGAATGTCAAGGGGTGATGGTTGGATTCTGTCTTATTGGAGATGGTCATTTCCTGGCACTTACATTGCAGGAATGTTGCTTGCTACTTGTCAGCCTAAATCTAGATATTGTTCAGATCATGTTGCTTTGGACTTGGACTACTTCAATATCTGAGCAGTTCCAAATGGTGTTGAATCTTGTGCAATTTTCAGCAAGCATTCTCACTTCTGACCTTATGACAGAGGGGAGGACGTTGATGAAGTAGCTGAAGATGGTTGGGCTGAGGATTCCAGCCTGTGGAACTCCTGCAGCAATATCCTGCAGCTGTGGTGACTGACGTCAAACTACTGCAACCATCTTCTTTTGTGCTGAGTACAACTTCAACTAGCCCAGAATTTTCCTCCGATTCCCCTTGACTCTTGGGAGCACCTTGTTGCTACGCTCAGTGAGAAACTTTCAACAGGATTGCGGTAACCTAAGCAGTTAACTGATCTCAGCAATAAGGTTTAGCAATGCAGTTCATCATTCTTGGGCTAAGGACATCCTGTTTCTTGGCTTCTGCTCCTGATCACCCAGTGTGACATCTGTTAGATGATTGTTCACATGTGAAGAGTTTTCCCCCTCTACACTGCGGTTTAAAAGCTGTTTAGGGCAAACTTGCTACAGAGCCCTGTGTGGAAAATAGCCACTTGGATGATGTATCAAAAGGAAATGAAATCACAGAAGAGCTGTGCATAAAAGTGGCAACATTCACAGTGGCATAGGGTCAGTGAAAAGGATGGTTCTTGTAAATCGTGTAATAAACATGAGGAACTCACTTTCTCAAAAAGAGTTAGAAACAGATTCTTTGAATATTTTTAATATTCAAGACAGATTTATTCTTGGAAAACAAGGCGGTGAAAGGTTACTATTGTTTGGTGGAAGTGTGGAGTTGAAGTTACAGTCAGAACAGCCGCGGTCTTATGAAATGGCAGAGCAGGTTTGAGGAGCTAAAGGCCTACTTCTGCTCCTAACTGGTAAGTTCCCAGTTAAAACAAAACAAAGAACTGCACATGCTAGTGATCTGAAACAAACAAAAACAGAAGTTGCTGGACAAACTCAGGTCTGGCAGCATCCGTGGAGAGAAGACAGATTTAACGTTTCAAATCACGTGAACAAAGGGTCACTGGACTCAATGTCAATAAATGTGGAGCTAGAAAAGCACAGCGGGTCAGTCAGCATTCGTGGAGCAGGGAAGTCAACGTTTTGGGCCAAAACCCTTTGTCAGGACTGATGAAGGGTTTTGGCCTGTAACGTAGACTTCCCTGCTCATCAGATGCTGTCTGACCCGCTATGCTTTTCCAGCTCCACATCTATTGACTCTAGCTTTCAGCATCTGCAGCCTTTACCGTCTCCAAGTCACTGGACTGAGAAATGACAACTGACCACCAGATGGCACAAGTATCATATTATCATAGAATTCTTTTCTTGTAGCAAAAAAGTCAGGGCCATCCTTCCAGATATTAGATTTGGAAATATTTGATAAAATGATTGTTTACCTTGTCACCAGTAAATCTGGGGTGGGTGTCTATGAGGAAAATACTATTAAATTGCATTCTATAAATTGCAGTGTCTCACACCATTCCAGTCAGCCCCACACAAATGCTTCCTATTTCAGTGGTAGATGGTGGCATCAGAGTGTCTCCTGCCACTGTATTGGAAGTGAAACCTGGTACAGGAGATGGCATGGATGTGTACCTAGAACCAGAGGTCACTACCCACTCCATCCATAAGCACATGTGCATCATTGTGCAGCCGATGTATACTTGCTGTCCTGCTCACTGTTTCCCTGGCTACCTCACCACTAACCCTTCCCTGCCTCCCTCTCAGTCAGCACCCACCTCCCTCACTTGCGAGGAGTGGTTAGCAGCGAGGGAGCAGGGTGGTAAGTGGGACAGAGACAGGAGTGGGCTGGCCGGGGAAGTAACAGCCAAATGTTTGGAATAGGGAAGCGAGCAAATCCCTACCTCAGGTTTTGAGCTGAATTGATCTGAAACATTTGGAGGGAAAAATACATTTCATTGAGGCTACGCATGTTCCAATATTTATGCGTAGCCTCAATATTATGGATCTTCCTGTCCTTTGATACAGAAATCTACCTGCAGTATCGCTGGCTGTGTTGCCATAGGCACTGCCACTGTGTAAGGTTGTGCCTGTTGCCATTGCAATGGCAAGGTACTCGAGCAAAGTTTAACAATGATCGAAACCTTGAAATGCAAATAATTTGGAAAAGCAATAAACTGTGACGAGCGGCAGATCCGGTGTGCTGTCAAACCTGTTTCTGAACTGCTAATTCAGGAAAAACAAGCTCACTTGCCACCAGGATAAGTTTTTAGGGGAAAAAAAAGCTGGGATCAGCAAAAGTGACTGTGAAGTTGGCAGAGTGTGGATAAAAATCCAACTGGTTCAGTCATGCCCTTTAGGGAAGACTGACTGCTGTCCTTTCCCAATCTGTGTCTACCTTCTGTCTAATTTCTCCATGCTGTATGCAGCCTGTTTGCTGCAGTGCGTGGTAAGTTTCAGGTTGTTGCATGGTTGCACATTCATGCAGCTCAAAGGTCACATGACTCCCATCTCACATCAATGCATTTGCCTCTTAACTACCCCAAAAGTAAGATGGTGTACCAGGTCACTGCTTTGTTGGTTGTGTTGTTAAAAGATGCACAGACAATGAGCATTATTTGCTTAAGAACAGGGAGCACGTTTAAAGAGAGTCCACAGGGATACTAAGGTCTTACTCAGAAGGCAGAAGACGCTGCATCCTGTGGATAGACCTGCTGTCAAGGCAAAGAGCAAAGAACAGTCTTGTTTCACAGTGGTTTGCATGTATTCAATGCAGCACTTGTATCAAACAGTCACACAATGGTTCAAGAAGAACCACCTGCACAGAACAACTAAGGAATAGACAATAAACACCAACAATGCACACATCTGAAGAGTAAATATATTAGACATAGTATAAGGTACAGTGTCCCAGGCCAGGGAACCCAGATTCTTACAGCCACAACTCTCCCACAGTTGGATTTGTTGGTGCACATGCCAATTGAATTGACACTCTAGCTGTGGTAGAAAGTTAATTCAGGAATAATCCTTCTTCTTTGTTGCCATCAGGTATATAATAGTAGTATTGTAGAACAGTGACAATTGAAACTTGAAACTAACTAGAGATGGGGTGGATTCAGGAGGGGAACATGTAGACTTACAAAGAAAAAGGTTATGCATTGCAAGGCAATTATTTTAATAATGAGTGGGACAGGAAGGTGAGAATGTACATGCATAAAATAAAAAAGCAGTAGATTGGATCATGGGAGATAAAATGGTGTTAAAATAAATGGTTCTTTACTTAACTACACTAATAATCAGAACAAAGTAAATGAATTAGTGATGCAAATAGAGGTTAAGGAGAATGATCTTACAGCCATTTCAGAGGCATGGTTGCAAGGACAACAAATTTGGGAACTTGTATTCAGGAGTACATATGTGACTCTTCTAAAGGACAGACAGCAAGCATGCAAAGATGTTTGTGATTTGGACAAGTTAAGTAGAGGGCAAATGCTTACCAGATGAAGGATAATGTAGATAAATGTGAAGTTGTCCAGTATGGTAGCAAAAACAGGAAGGCAGATTATTATCTGAATGGTGATGGATTGGGAAATGAGACCTCAGTTGCCTTGAACACCAGTTGCTGAAAGTGAGCACAATGGTGCAGTAAATAATGAAGAAGGCAAATGGTATGTTGGCCTTCATTATGACAGGAGTTGAATACAGCAGCAGCAATGTCTTGCTGCTATTGTAAAGGGACTTACAGAGACCACACCTGGAGTATTGTGTGCAGATTTGATCTCCTTATCTGAGGAGGGACATTCTGGCTATGGAAGGAGTGCAGCAAAGGTTTACCAGGCTGATTCCTGGGATGGCAGGACTGACGTCTGAAGAAAGACTGGATTGACGAGGACTTTATTCACTCAAGTGCAGAAGAGTGAGGGAGGGATATCATAGAAACCAATAAAATTCTAACAGGTCTTGACAGAATTCCTGATGACTTGGGAGCCCAAAACCAGGGGTCACAGTCTAAGGATACAGGTTAGCCATTCAGGACTGACATAAGGAGAAATTTCTTACCAAGAAAATGGTGAGCCTGTGGAATTCTCTGCCACAGAAAGCATTTAAGGCCAAAACATTGAATCTGGGGAAGGGGAGAAAATAAACACAGTAACCATGACGAGGGAAACTAATAGAGCTAAAGGCCAATAAATCCCCTGGACCTGATGCAATGCATCTAAGGATTTTAAAGGAAGCAGCTACAGAGATAGTAGCACTGGTAGTAATCATCCAACAATCTTTAGATTCCAGAAAAGGATTGTACAGAAGAGATGGAACCATTCTGTTCATCCAACCTATTCTTTAATGCCATTGCTCTGCTTTTTGCCTGCAGACCTGAAAAGTGTGTTTTCTTTAAAAAAAATGTTGTGCTAACATAGATTGGGTCTTGAAAATACATTTGTCTGTAAAGCCTAATTCAGTTCTGTCCATCTCAGGTGTGGCATCCGCAGTTTTTTTGGTTTTAACTCCTTTTCCTCCTTGAAGGATCCGAAAACTCTCAGTGCAGTAACGTTAAGGTTTAAATTGCTATTTTTGCTGACGGTATTAAGCTTTCTGTTCAGAGGTCTGCTTCCACTGTTCTTGCATCTGTTTTATTCTTCACTACCGCTGTGCTTCCTGCAGTTGCCTAAGGACATGGTGCTGAAGTTCTATCAGAAGATGACACTGCTGAACACAATGGATCGCATTCTATATGAGTCCCAGCGACAGGTAAACATTGCAAGGCATTGAGAGGAACGGGATATTCTACCTGCTTTGTCACTGAGCTGCTAATTAGTTTGACCCTGAGTATAGTAATGTAAGTTGACAGTCTGGTGCAGAACTGAGGATGTGCTGGACTGTCTGAGGTGCCATCTTTCAGATGAGCTGTTAAACAGCCCCCTCAGGTGGGTGTAACAGATCCCTTGGAGCAATGAGAAGAGCAAGGGACGTTATTCCTGGTATGTTTAAAATCTTTAGAAGCCCTGAGCTGACTTAGTGTTCATCTCATAAGAAAAGCTTGACCAAGAGACTACTTCAATCAGATATATTATTAACCAGCAGAGTTTCACATAAACTCTGCAATAAACCCAGGCAATCTTGTATTTATACATCCTGCACTAGTTCAGGACGGAAGAGGACGTGACTTGTCTTGCAGCGTTTGGAATCTGGTCATAAACATGTCTTCTGTCTCTATTGAGTTGATCAGTTATTTTTACCATGCTGTTCTTACAACTAACCACTCCCAATACCAAATCAAACTCAATCTGTGGTTATCCTACCCTGAGGAAACCTCCCTGGACCAATCAGATATAAATACACGTGAACCTCAGGTCATTTTTTGCATTCACTACTGATTTACCTTGCCTTGTAACTCAAGGCTGCTATATCTGGATTTGGCTGTTTGAACAGGCTTCAGCATTCTTGCATTTTGAGTATGCAAGCAGTCTTGGAGATTTCATCATCTTTCAGTTGATGCAAAGAGGTTGCCAAAAACTTGTTTTTCCCATTATCCTTCTATTCTGGAATCAGTTTTTATCATGCCTCTTTCTAAACTTTTCTATCTCACTGTACCATGAAGGGGCACTGAATAAAGTTGTGTTACAGATCTTACATCCTGGATGTTTATCTCTTCACCAAAGACGATAAACAAATTCCTTGGCTGTTGTAACATTGCTGTTTGTGGAAGTGAGTGTGTGCATGTTTGCAGCCCTGTATCTGAAATTAAAACAGTAACTATACTTTCTACAGTACATTACTGGTTTTCAAGCGCTTTGTAGCTTCATGAAGTGCATGAAGGTTCTGGTATAAGTTCAAGAGTTTGTCACAGTGAGATCTATCCTGCCACTGTTGTGGTGCAGTTCACTGGCCTGTACAATAGTTAGACACTCTGCTTATTTTACAGGGCCGCATAACCTTTTATATGACCAACTATGGTGAGGAGGGCACACATATTGGCAGTGCTGCCGCACTGGAATCCAATGACATGGTGTTTGGGCAGTACAGGGAAGCAGGTAAGTGAAACGTGAAGTCTGTAATCAGGGTAGTATAGTCTGCTGACAAAATGTCCATGTGCACTGGGGCTTCACACCACGAGACCCGACTTTCTATTAGTTCCACAGATAGGAATATTACTCAAGGCTTCACTGAGCAGCTAAGCCCTTCTATAAACCATTGGCTAGGCCTCAATTGGAACACTCTGTCGCATTCTTAAGGTACCACACCCTACTCAAGATGTCAAAGCCTCAGAGGATGCAGAATGGATTTACTCAATTACTTCATTTATATTGAGAAGCTGGGGTTGTTCTTCCTTTGAACAGTGATGGTTAATAGGAACTTTAGTGGCAAGCATTCTAAATTTTGCAGGATTTCCTTGAATTATTCCACAGAAAATCTTTACTCTTGAATGTGAATTATTAAGCAGAGGACGCTGGTTAACATAATTGACAAAATAACTTGAGGGGCGATGAGGATTTTTCCATGCAGTGAGTTGTATGTAACGAGTTGAAATGATCTGGAAAACTCTGGCTGAAAGAGTGGTGGAAGCTGCCTCCATTGTAACCTGCAAAATGAAAATGGAAAAATTGATAGCATTGTAGACCAGGAAGAGGGACAAACTTGGTAACTCTATCAAAGAGAGAATATGGGCATGATGGGCTGAATGACCTCCTCCTGTATTATAAGATTCTATATTTAGCTTCCCCAGGAGAGGTTCAGCGAGCAGTGCCAGTTAGAGGGAAACTTCCCGGGCCTTCCTTTTTGCAATGCCACAGTATAAGGATGATCCAACAGTGCTATTGTACTCCCCTGTCTCTTCAGAATGGGCAGCATTGACATAGTTGTAATGTCAGTGGCCCAGTAAAACAGAGACCAAAGCTAATGCTCTGGAGCAAGGTTTCAAATCCTACCACAGCAGATGGTGAAATTTGAATTAAATTGATAAGTCTGTTGGTCTATTGGTAATTGCAGAACTATTACTGATTGTTGTAAAAACCCCACCCAATATTCTTTAGGCAAGGAAATCTGTCATCCTTACTTGGTCTGGCCTACATATGACTCCAGACCCATAGCGATCTGGTTGACTCTTAACTGCCCTCTGAAGTGGCCTAGCCATATGAAGGCTAAGAGAAGGAATGAAACTGATTGGACCACTGCGCATCAATCTAGGCACCAGAAATGACAGTGGCAAACCTAACTCTGTGGATCCTGAAAAGTCCTCCTTACTAATCTCTAAGGGCTTGTGTCAAGATTGAGAAAATAGGTTAGACAATCGACTGTCTGACATAGCCATACTGTCAGAATCATACCCTACACACAATTTCCCAGACACCACCATCATGGAGTATGTAATGGCTCACCATCAGGACAGACCTGCCAGAGATGGCAGCGCAGTAATATAGTCAGGAGGTTTCCCAAGACAATGCCCTCAGCATTGACTTCATGAAGTCTCATGGCATCAGGTGAAATGTGGTCAAAGTATCTTCCTGCTAATTATCACTTACCACACCTTTCCTCAGCTGATGTAATACTATACCTTTATGTTGAATACCAATTGGAGGAAAATTAAGGGTGATAAAGGCACATAATGTTCTATGTTTGTGGATTTCAGTACCTCACCATGACTGGTGAGGTAGCACCACTAGCTACCAAGCTGAGTCCAAAAGAATATAGCTACATTGGGTCTGCAGAAGGTGGTGAGGGAACCGACAAGGAGGAAAAATACTCTTGCCCTCATCCTCACCAATCTGCTTGCCAGACACACACCTGTCCATGACAACATCAGTAAGAGTGACCATAAACCAGTCCTTGTGAAGGTGAGGTCTCTTCCTTGCATTGTGGATATTGTCCATTGGACTGTGTGATACTATCACTGTGCTAAATTGAACAGACTTCAAAAGCATCCAGAAACTCAAAACTGTGGGCCATCAGCAGCTGCAGAATTGTATTCAGACACAATCTGTAACCTCACGGTTTGACATATTCCCCCACTCTAGCATTGCCACCACGCCGGGGGATCGATCTTGGTTCAGTGAAGTGGTTGGAGCACCACCAGGCATACTTAAAAATGAGGTATCAACCTGGTAAAGCTACGTTAGAGGATTATTTGCATGCCTAATGGGTTGAAATGGTATTGTATAGATAGGGCTGAGTGATCTCACAGCCAATGGATCAGATATAAGCTCTGCAAGAAAAGGCTGCACAATATTCCTATCCTCAGTGATGTGGGAGCACAGCATAGCCATGCAAAAGACAAATCTGAGGTATTTGTGGCCATCTCCAGCCAGAATTGCCAAGTGAATGATCCATCTCAGCCTCCTTCTGGGGTTCCAAGCATCACAGATGCCAGTCTTTAACCAGCACTGTTCACTCCACGTGGTATTAAAAATGCTTGAAGGTACTGGATACTGAAAAGGCAATGTAGTCTGACAACATTTCCAGCAATAGTATTGAAGACTTGTACTCCAGAACTTGCTGTGCCCCTAGCCAAGCTGTTCCAGTACAACTACAATATTGGCATCTATCCAGCAATGTGGAAAATTGCTTAACTATGTCTTGTTCACAAAAACCAAGACAAATACAGTGCAGCCAGTTATCAGCCCATCAGTCTGCTCTTGATCATCAATAAAATGATGAAACTGGTCATTGACAGTGCTATCAAGTGGCACATATCAGAAATAAGCTGCTCACTGATGCTCAGTTTGAGTTCTGCCAGGGCTACTTAGCTCTTGACCTGATTCTGGCCTTGGTCTAAACAGGGACAAAAGAGCTGAGTTCCAGAGGTAAGGTGGGAGTGATTGCCCTGGACATCAAGGCAATATTTGACCAAGTGTGGCATCAAGAAGCCCAGCATAACTGAAGTCAATGGGAATCGGTGGAGAGGAAACTCTAGTTTGATTAGAGTCATACCTAGCACAAAAGAAGATAGTTGTGGTTATTGGAGATCACTCATCTCAGTCCCAGGATAACTCTGGAATTCCTCAGAATGGTGTCCTGGGCCCAACCATCTTCAACTGCATCATCAATGGCCTCCCTCCAACATAAGCTCTGTAGTAGGATGTTCACTAATGATTGCAGAACGTTCAGCACCATTCACCATTTCTCAGGCGCAGCCTTTATTCAGATGCAATAAGACCTTGACAACATCCAGGCGTGGTTTGATAAGTGGCAACTAACATTTACAACACTCAAGGGCCATGCAACGACAATCCCAAACAAGAGAGAATTTAACCGTCTCTCCTAGACATCAATCACATCATTGGGACTAGATCCCTCACTATCAACAGCCTGGGGGTTACCATTTACCAGAAACTACTAGACCAACTGTAAAAATACCACAACTTCAAAAGCAGATCAGAAGCTCTGAATTCTGCAGCAAGTAACTTCCCTCCTGTCTCCCCAGTGCCTGTCTACCACCTAGAAAGCACCAGCCATGAGTATGATGGGATACTCCTAACTTGCCTGGATGAGTGCAATCCAACAACATTCATGAAGCTCGACATCATTCAGTACATAGCAGTCCATTTCGTTGACACCCCATCCACTAACCTTCAACTTTTACTCCCTCTTCCGCTGATGTACAGTGACTGGAATGTGTACCAGCACCTTTATCAGAATTTTTCAATCTCATGTCCTAGACCACCAACAAGGACAAGGCCAGCACGTGCCTGGTAAGACAACTATCTGAAAATTCCTCTCCCAGCAACACACCATCCTGGCTTGAAACTAAATCACTGTTCCTTCACTGACGCAGAGTCAAAATCCTGAAACTGTCTTCCTAAACACTCTGTGGCTGTACGTGCACCTCAAGGACTGCAGCAGTTCAAAAAGGCAGCTCACCACCAACTTCTCAAGGGCAATTAACGATTGGCAGTAAATTCTGGTTTAGCCAGCCTACATTCTGTGAATGAGTACAAATAGTGATAGGGTCCGGAATGTACTGCCTGAGACCAGCAGAAGCAGATTCAGTGGAAGCTTCTGAAGGAGCTATAGACTATGAAATAGAACAGTATGCAGGGTTACATGGAGAATGCAGGAGAGTGGCATTATGTGAGATGCTTATTCGGAGGGCCATTGCAGACGTGATAGGCTGAATAGCCTCCTGTACTGTAATGTGCACAATACTTACTCATTAATTCCTATCCACCCTCCTCTATTCTGAATCCTCAGAAACCATGCAGTGTTCACTGTCTTATTTTTAGCGATTCCATACCTGAATGTCAGCCTTATTTATTGGCTATGAATTAGAATAATTGGATTCTTTATGGGACTGGAGCACATAATCTGGACTGACGGATGCTGCACTGACAGAGTCTTACCCTTTGGGTGAGATATTTCAACCAGACCTTCCCTACTTGTTTCAGAGGTTCTGACGAGTCAGAACGATTCCATAGAGCAATTGGAGGAAGAGCAGGGGGCTCTCCCAGCATCCCAGCCAACACCCCTCCCCACTGCAATTGTTCATCTTGTAACTCATTTGTGCACTGTTTGTGGGATCTTGCTGTGCATGTATCGTCTACATTCTAACAACAGCAGCTAGGTCTCTGATTTATTCATTAGTGACCGGTTGCTCTCATTGGAACCCTGGAGAGATGGTGAAGCACTGCATAACTCCTGGCTATCATTCTCTAACCTGCTTATTCTTTTCCTCTTGCCTAGGTGTCTTAATGTACAGAGGCTTCCCGCTGGAGCTGTTCATGGCACAGTGCTATGCCAGTGCCAGAGATGTGGGTAAAGGACGTCAGATGCCTGTTCACTATGGCAGCAAGGATCTCCATTTTGTTACAATCTCATCTCCTTTGGCAACGCAAATACCGCAGGGTAAGAATTTACATACTAAGCATTACCTTCACACTCTCTCCACCTTCAATTATTATTTTCCTCCTTACCACCTGACCCACTTCTAAAATCAAGTGTGGTTGTAAAATATTTTGCCACGTAACACAACGAGATTTTCCACCAAGCAGATTATGTTTAGATTTCCCTTTTGGTTCTGCTAGCAAGATGTTTGATCAGCTTTTCACTGGGGATTGCCCACAGGATGTAAGCAGAACAAACTGGAAGCTAAAAACATGGCCTCCAGCAGTCAAGCATTCACAAGAGCCCTCCTGGGTTACAGCACCTTTTCTGTACCGGAATTATGCTCTTCCCCCATCCTTTCCATCAGGTACCATGCCTGTCCTTTCTCCTCTTCTCCATATCAGGTGTAGTACCTTAAATTCCATTGCCACTGCCCTCACCCCTCACTCTTTCTTTCCCAGGTACAGTGCTGTTCCCCTAGCTCCTCCACAGCTAGGGATTGCCCTCAGCTGGCTCGTGCTCACACTCTTGTTGTGTTGATGAGTGCAGCATTCTGTCTTTAGAGATCTATTTTCTCTTTGTTCTGCAGTTGGACATTACTGCTCTGTGTTCCCCTTGCTGATCGATCTATCTGTTCCTTAGGCCAGAGCAAAGCTGTCTTGGCAAGGTAGGAGTCAGGAGCAGGCACAGACAGTCAGCCCCAAGATTGATTGATCAATCCTCCTCTACTATTGTTCTTCCATCCTCTAGATGTCAGCACAATCAATATCTCCTGTTTGAATTCTCTGACAACATGCCTGCTTTTTGCTTCCAGCTGTTGGGGCTGCATATGCTTACAAAGTGAGTCAGGAGGACCGTGCAGTCATCTGCTACTTTGGAGAGGGCGCTGCAAGCGAAGGGGATGCTCATGCTGGTTTCAACTTTTCAGCCACTCTAGAATGTCCCATCATATTCTTCTGCAGGAACAATGGCTACGCAATCTCAACACCAACCCATGAGCAATACAGAGGAGACGGCATTGGTAGGTACTGGGACCGGCGTAGAGAGGCAAATCCAGCAAACTTTTTATTAACCGGCACCTATGGGACCCAGGAGTGTACCGATTGATCAAGAGGTCCACATTATCAATGTAGAAACACACACTAGATAATAGATACGCAACACATCACTGTTATACTTTATTTACAGCATAAATCACTTAAATGCAACCTTGCCTTAAATAAAATTTACTGACAGACAGCCTTCTCACTCATACCCTCAACTGACTACTAGGACTTTGCAATAGTACAGTAAATTTCCAGTATTTCAGGTGTATAATTTCTGCCTGTTTGTTGAGAGTGCCAGTTCATAAGATGCTGGTTAAAACAAAGTTTGCTGTATGTCATAAATATCAATCAAATCAAAAATGATACTGGACGTTAGGAAGCCATTCGGCTTGTCATTTCTGTAACATCTTGTTGAAAATGTGATCCAGTTGGTCCCATTGCTGTTGCTTGCAGCCTTACAATTTTGTTCTTTTTTCAAATATTTATTAAATTCCCAGCTTTCACCTTTTTCAAGCAGGCACATACCACATCAACATGGCTCACTGCACTTAAAACAAAAACTCTGGCTTTGCACGTCCTTTTCCCAATCATCTTAAATCTGTGTCCTCTGGTTGAAGACTCTTGTGTCAATAGAAACAGTTTCACCTTATTTTCTCTTATCCAAAGCCTTCAAGATTTTGAATGCCATCTATCGAATCTGCTCTTAACCTTCTCTGCTTTAAGGAGAATAAGCCCAGCTTCTCCAGTCCATCCAACTAACTGAAGTCCATACCCATTCCAAGATCTTCGTAACCTAAAAGTCTGGTGTGCCCAGAATATTGGGAGTGAAGTACAGTCGTGATAGATCAGGTGGATTGGAGTTAGTGCATTTCCATACACCTGCCTGTTTTTAAGCTTTATTGAAGTCAATGAAATATAATATTGAGCAGGGGAATAAAACAGGTCCCCAAGACCCCTCTCTCCAAACCTGACTTGAACCAACCTGACCCATTGCCATTGTGTGGGTTAGGTCAAAATTGAGACTAAACTGTTAGAATGGATCCTTTGGATCTCAGGAATTGTATGCATTGGTTAACACCTTCCCTCTCTCCCAATAGCTGCCAGAGGCCCTGGTTATGGGATAATTTCAATCAGAGTGGATGGGAATGATGTCTTTGCTGTTTATAATGCAACCAAAGAGGCAAGGCGCAGAGCAGTGGCAGAAAACCAACCCTTTCTCATCGAGGCCATGACTTACAGGTAAACACACTGGATGATGGCTTGTTAATCGTGTCTGTTAATGATTTAAGTTGGCAAACAATATAAACTCTTTAACAGTTTCTACTGGGTAGATAAACAGGGTGGACAAACCCTGCCCTTCAATGCCAAAATTAGAGAGGGACAGTGAATGCTTAGGACGCTGGGCAGAGAGACCGGGAGAGCACAGAGGACCCAGGCAGAGGAAGGGATGGAGGGCACAGAGGCCTGGGCAGGGAGAGAGAGGGCCTGGGGGCCCAGGCAGAGAGAAGGAGTGAGGATGGGCACAGAGGGCCTCGGTGAAGGGCAGGAGGAAGGGCCGAGGCAGAGAGAGAGAGTGAGCACAGGCAGGGAGAGACAGGCTGCAGAGGCCCCAAACAGAGAGGAAAAATAGCTGTACACTTTTACATTTTAATTTTTTTTTATTTTACAACTAATTTAGTTTACCATTATAGAAGTTTTGCTTCAGAAGGTATTTCAACTTGCAGAGTATAATGTTTCAGTTGCTTCTCTGATGGGAAGCTTGCACAGAATCTAATCGTAGCTTTTACTTTAGCTTTAATAAACAAAAATCTGATTTGCTTAAAATGTTACACCTTGCAAGAATACAACAACAAATTCAAGTGAGGACCTGCTATATTTTTGAGGCACCGTAGAACCTTTGTATTAAACACACAAAATTTTCCATTAAGTTTCCATTACTGTTCTGTAATGAATCTATCTCAGCTCAATAAACATACTGCTGTTAATGAGCTAAGCCAACATTTCACACTGTCAAAACACAGGAGTTTACCTCTCCAAGCTCAGGACGATGTACCTGTTTGAGTAACTGAGGCACATAGACTATGACCTGAGGACACGTTCAGATCCCATTGAGGCAGCCGGGAAATTAAATTCCATTAATTGAATAAGTCTAGGCTGAAAAGCTCGTATTCTTAATGGTGACCATGATATTATCCCATTGTTTCACTGGTGACCATTCGGGAAGGAAATCTGATGTCCTTACCCAGACTGGCCTGTGTGAGTCCAGACCCAAGCCAAGTGACTGATTCTTAACTACTGAGTAAGCATTCAGTTGTGTTCAAGGAGGCAGCTCACCAACACTTTTTCTAAGGACAATTAGGGATGGGGAATAAATGCTGTCCTTGCCAGCAATGTGCACACTTCTTGAATGAATATTAAAATCTTCACAGGTCATAAAATCGATTGTCGTCCCCCACACGCATCCGACCTGAAGTCACACTTCATTCACTGATCCATTGCTAGAAGTCTCCTCACAAGTTGTTTAAACCATTCATGGACAATGTTCAGTTTTTCTCACCATCAGCCCCGGGAGAGCGAGTTTTCTAGTTGGAAGCATTTGTATCACACCAGGTGCAGTTTATCTTGAGTTAACTGGAACCCCGGGGACAGATGGCAGATGCCTTATTGAGGTTGTAGACATGCTTGCTAAGCCACTGGGTTTGGTTGCAAACATTTCATCACCCTGCTAGGTAATATTGTCAGTTTGCGTCCGGTGAAGCGTCAGTGTTCTGTCCTGCTTGTTATTTATATGCCTCAGTTTGCTGGGGTTTGGCCTATGTAGTGTTACTCACAGTCCTTGCATGGTATTTTGTATATTACCCAGTTTTGCTGGTCTTGGGTATGGGATCCTTTATGTTCATCAGTAGGTGTTGTAGAGTGGTTGTTGGTTTGAGGGCTACTCTGATACCTAGGGGTTTGAGTAGTCTTGTGGTCATCTCTGAAATGTCCTTGATGTATGGTGGGATGATTAGTGAGTCTGGTCGTGTTGTGTCTTCCTGTTGTGATCTGTCTCGAAGGTAATGGCAGATTGTGCTTTTCACGTATCCATTCCTTTTGAAGACTCCGTATAAGTGCTCTTGTTCAGCTTTGTGTAATTCCAGGTTGCTGGAATGTGTTGTGGCTCATTTGAATAGTGTCCTGATGCAGCTCCATTTATGGGCATTGGGGTGGTTGCAAGTGTAATTGAGTATCTGGTCGTATGTGTAGTCTTTCTATATACGATGGTCTGGAGTTCCCTGTTATTTTTGCATTCTTCCATTATGTCCATGAAGGGTAGTCAGTTGTTGTTCTCTTCTTGTTTCGTGAATGTTATCCAAGTAAGGATGTTGTTTATGTGTCAGTGGGTTTCTTCTAATCTTGTGCATTTAATAATCATGAAGGTGTCATCTGCATATCAGATCCAAAGTTTGGGTTGTATAGTGGGGAGCGCTGTTCGTTCTAAACTTTGCATTACTGCTTCTGCAAACAGTCCTGTTATTGGGGATCCCATTGGTGTTCCATTGATTTGTTTGTATATACAGCTATTGAAAGTAAAGTGGGTTGTGAGGCACAGATCTAGTAGTTTCATGGTGGTGTCCTTGTTGATGTTGTTGATGTCCTGGGTTGCCTGCCTACTTGATTTGTCCAGCAGTGTGGCAATTGTTTCTTTGGCTAGGTCGATGTTTATGGATGTAAAACATGCTGTTACATCAAAGGATATCATCATCTTGTCCTCTTCTACCATAGTGTCCTTGATAACGTTGAGGAATTCTTGGGATGAGCGGATGGAGTGGGTAGTGTTGTCCACTAAGTATTTCAATTTCTGTTGTAGTTCTTTGGCAAGTCTATATGTTGGTGTACCTGGCAGTGAGACAGGGGGTCTGAGGAGGACCCCCGGTTTGTGTACCTTGGGGAGTCCATAGAATCGGGGTGTGTTGGATCCCTCTGGCTTCATTTTTTGGTAGTCTGTCTTGCTGATGTCTCTTGAGTTGTGACTAGCCACCAAGAGACATGACCAATTCTCACCTGTCTCACTGCACATGGACAACAAGGGACACGAATTTGACTGGGACAACACATCCGTAATCCCACAAGCCAAACAAAGACACACCAGGGAATTCCTGGAGGCCCGGTATTCCAACTGGAACTCCATCAACAAACACATTGAATTAGACCCCTGTGTACAAACCACTGAGAAACAGAACCGCAAGTAATACCAACTACCCCAGCAAACCAAGGCATATAAATAACAAGCGGGACAGAACACCGATGCTTCACTGGAGGCGCGCTGACGATGTTACCTAGCAGGGTGACGAAACATTTGCAACCAAACCCAACGGATCAGCGAGCAAATCTACAACCTCATCCACAACCCGAGCTACAAATCTTCTTGAAAAATTTAGATGACTTATTGACCCTGATCTTGCACCAGGAAGCTTTTGAACTATCTGCTAATAACACAGCCACTCCTAGTACACCACCTCTGTTTTTCATAAATGAGAGACATAAACTTATACGACCATAAAGCATGAATGACATTGTTTAACCACTGCAAATTTTTCCTTTTCTTGCCCCCTTTTCACATTCCTCTATCACCTTGCCCCTCCCTATCTTTGCAACCTCCTGACATGCTCTGAGATCTCTGCATTCCTCCAATTCTGTCATTTTGTACATCCCTGATTTCAGTCACTCCACACATTTAATTGTACCTTCAGTTGCAGAAGCACAAAGCTCTGAAATTCCTTCCCTAAGCATTTCCCAAATCTGCCTTTCTCTCTTTTAAGCCAGTCTTTCAAACATACCTCTTTGATAAATTGTTGGTCACCTACTTATGTGACTAAATGTTAAACTTTACATTATAACTCTCCTGAAAGTGCCTTGGGTTGTTTTACTACACTAAGAGGTACTTGTGTTAATGGAAGCTTTTATTTAATATATGGTATACCTAATCCCCTCTTGACAGTTAATAATGTTCATTATGTTCCAGCAACATAGCTGCAGGAAAACAATAAATGAACAGATAACATGAAAGAGAGCTAGAAATCAGGAGGGATTATTCTGCACATTCCTGCTTTTCCTTGCCCTGCCCTGTTCAACAGTTTAAGGATTCTGGGTTTCTCAGTAGTTTTTCAGTTTGAAAGTTCATTCTTGCTTTGTGCTTCTCAAAGAGATACAGTTGGTGACACATTACTTTATTTCACTGGTTTATTTTATCTTATCTAAGGGCATCACTAACTAGGCCAACATTTATTGCCCTGGAGAAGGCGGTGGTGAGCATCCTTCTTAAACTACCGCAGTCCATGGAGTGTAGGTACACTTTCAGTACACTAAGGAAGAGAACTGAGGATTTTCCAGGATTTTCAGCCAATGTGAAGGATCTAGTTCCAAATCAGGATGATGAGAAATTTGGAGGGGTTGGTGTTCCCAAGTATCTGCCAGTCTTGTCCTCCTAGCTGGTAGAGATCGTGGGTTTGGAAAGTGCTGTTGAAGGAGCTATGGTGAGGTACACACTGTTGCTACTACGCATCAATGGAGGAGAAAGTGAATGTTGGAGGTGGTGAATGGATGCCAAACAAGCAAGCTGCTTGGTTCTGGATGGTGTCAATCTTCTTGACTGTTATTGGAGCTATACTCATCAGGCGAATGGAAAGTAATCCATCTCTCTCCTGACTTTGGGACAGACACTGGGAATACAGTAGACTTATTATTCACCACACAGTTCTCTATCTCTAACCAGCTCCTGCAGCCACAATATGGCTGGTCCAGTTCAGTTTCTAATCAGTGAAATTTGCATTTCCAAGAACAGGCAAATCATATGTGTACCTTTGCTGCAAAAAGCAGAAGACTAATTCAGAACTTGTGCACCACACTTTTTGAGGAAGCTGAATAAAATTACGTGTAAGTCAACTCAGTGGAAGATCCAACCACAGGCTTTTGATGACTCATTTCACAGACACCCAGTTTCTGACAGTGATATGAGATCTGTGTCTGACAAACAAACATTGTGTCATTAGCAGCATCCCTAATGCAACCAGGGAACTGCCCAGCTGCAAACTGTGGCATTGCCAGCTGCCACAGTACCTGCGGTTGTATCTGAGGTAGTTGGCACATAGCAGCTTTATACCAGTTTACTAGAATTTGTGCCATAAGGAAAATAGATTTAAAGTCAAATCTGTTCACATTTCCTTGTCTTTGGAGGCTTTGGAGCAGCGCATCAAAGTGTTGCTGGAATGGTCCAGGGATTAAATAGCTTGGAGTGACTGCAGAAGCTGGGGTTGTTGTCTCTAGAGCAAAGAAGGCTATTGGAGTTAATACAGGTATTTTAAAATCATGAACGTTTTAGAGTAAGTAAAGTTTCCAGTGGCTGATGAGAGAAAACAGCTGTAAAGTGATTGACAAATGAATTGTTGGTGACATGAAGAAGAATCTTTTTGTTCAGTGAGGGATTAAAGTTTGGAATATACTGCTGAGTATTGTCGTGAAAACAGATTTTATGGTAGCTTTCAAAAAGGAGTTGAGTAAATAAGATAAAACATTGCAGAAATATGGTGAAAGAGGGGAGGAATGGGCCAAATTGTGTTGCTCTAAGCACCAGCACAGTTCTGTACTACGAATCCCGCACTCTCCTCCACACACCAGATATTGAGTCTGCATTTTGCTTTCAAACCAAATATCTTACATTTTGCTTTGACATCAATGCGCTAAGCCACAGGATAAGCTAAAGTAGGTAATAGTTTTACACCTTCCTCTTGGTGTCACATTCTGTGGACACTACCTTGGGAAAGCTGGCTGATGTGGTGGGTTAAGGCACAGATCATTTTCTTAAACAGTCGTTTAAAACCATCCCAGACCAACAGAATGACAGTCTGAGTGCTCTACTGGATGTACGGTGTTATGATCCCAACAGGACAAAGGAACCAATTATAACTTCTGGTTGCACAATCAATCCTAAATCTACAAAAATAAATCATGACCCCAATTTCTGTTATTTCAATATTTATATTACAAATTATATATTAAATAGCATATAGATATGAAGAAAGGTAGATCCATTCCAAATTGCAGAATGTCCTTTCCATGCTTATGGTGCTTAATTTCAGCCAAAATCCTTCACAGCTCTGAATGTTCAGAGCTAATACAATTCCAACTCCTTTTCTTTGAAGATTTATCCTCCAATCCTCATCTGATAGCTTCATCCAACCAGCCCAAGTTTCACCAAAATGGTGCGCTTCTGCAGAAGCTTCTCAGGCCTGCTCACAACAGTCTTGATGTCATGGAATCCCCAGAGATCCCGTTATCTGCACCCTCAGTGATAAACCCATTCACTGTATAGCCAGTTCATACTTACTAGTAACTTGAAGTAAGGGAAAGCGCTGCAATTCCCTTCCATTTATCTGTTGCCAGCTTCAGGATACAGCCGCCATTTTCTTCTGGCTTAGCTGTGCTACTCCTTTGCTGATGGAAAACCTGGTCACGTGGGTGCTGCCATAAAGGGGTCCCTTACAGATCACGTGCTGTGTCAAGTCTCTGTCCTTGCTCCTCAATCTCTTGGTGACAATGTCAGTTTTCACCACTGACTGCCCAAGGCTTCATTTCCCATGCCAGCGAACCCCTCTTTTTGAGCAAGGTAGCGTTTTGCCTGGAATCTTCTCTGCAGAGCTGCTACCACTTTTTATAAACTTGACCTCAAGCAAAATGCTGCTGCCCATATCCTAACTGACACCAAGTCACTGTCATTGCCCGCATTCTCTCTCATTTTCTAGCTGCTGCACGGACCTCCGTAATTCGTACACAGCAGCAACTTCCAGTGTGAGAAGTCCATGGGTATCGGTTGGTGTCTGAAAATTCTCCAACTGGCTAGAGTGAGAGTTGATCATCACTGTGCTCGCTGATCTACCGTCCGTCCTCAGATTGAAAATTCTCAACCTTGTATTAAAATCTTTTTCCCTGCAAGTTCCTCCACTTTCATAAGTCTCTTAGAAATCTGCATTTCTCCAATTCCTGATTTTAACTGTCCCACCATTGCCAGCCATGCCTTTCTTTGGAAATCCAATCCTAAACCTGTTTGCTGTCCATGTTTAAAGCCCTCCTTGAAGCCTTTTTTAAACTAACAAGCTTTTAGTCACCTCTTTTGTCGCAATGTCAGTTCATATGAATTGCCTTAGGCCATTAGGTTCAGTGGTTTGAAAGAAAAGACCTCAGTCCTGTGGTCTGGGCTAGCCCTGACCCAGGAAGCAATACAGGCAGTAGACTGTATGCTGTTTGTTAACTTAAATACACAATAGATGTCCTGTTTGTCTTTGTTGAGTAAGTAGTTTGATCTACTCGTTAAATATTAATTCAACATTGTTCCCATGCTCCACCCTCCCTCAGTCTCTATTCTGAAATGTCACCATGCTGTGAAACGTTAATGCTGCACCTCTTGGGTGATCAAACACAATCGTTAGAGGTTGCTGTGACCTAGCAACCAGCTCTCAATTGTATCAAAGCACCTCGTCCATTGCAACCTATTTTTAAAATAAGAACAAAGGGAAAATAAGAACAAAGGTATAATAAAAACAAAGGTAAAATAAGAACAATGAGCACAAGGTCAGTCACACATGGACGCAAAGCCTTGCTTGCACATATATGGTGAAGGATCATGGTTGGGCTGGTTTCAATAACACTCCCCGACTTTTCTCTAATCAAATACTCTTTGATCAATTGTCATTTCTCACCAAGAATCAGCTGATTGTTATCTCTTCTGCTCACTGAGGCACTGGGTCCATTTTCTGTGATCTAATAGCTGAGATGGCCTCAAACAGTAGAAATACCCTCACATTTGAGGCTGAGAGTTGAAGCTTCACTCCAGGACCCTTAAGCACTGCTGAGGGAGTGCTTTGTTGCGGAGGCGCACCACCTTTGAAGGTGATGTGAGATCAAGACTCAGTCTGCGTTTTCAGTGTTCTCACTGTAAAATATTCAACTGCTTCAGAGCAACAGTGAATTCCCCTGGCATCTTGAGCAATATTCCTTCCTTAGCCATTAACTGCCAGTTCAGTTCATTGCTGTGGCTGCACCTTCCTGATTACAGAAAGTCTGTGTTGTGGCTAGGCTTGGACTTGTTAGGAAGTCACTGAGTACTGACTGTTTGATAAAGTGCTGTCTATTTTTCCAGTGGAGCAGAATAGAAAACTTGAGGTCAGAATTGAATTGGTGTGTGCAATATTTAGTTATTTGCTACAAGCTACCTAAAGATAAAGACAACCTACCTCATGCCCCTTTAACCTATAATGTTTGCTGCTGGGCAGACACTAGAATAGATCACTGATTTCTTTTTCGTTCCTTCTTTTTATCCGAAACCAAAAAGGCAGACCCAGCAACTAATGGTATTACAAACATCATATTTGTAGTAATAGCACCTTTCAAATCCACCAATCCAAAAGTAATATATAGGCAATCATTTGCTTTTGAAGTTAGATCCTGTCATAGGCGTAAATTTGAGCACCATAAAAATGATGAGACGAAGGATCAGATAATCCATTTACTGTTGTGATTGAAAGGGAGCTCTCTTTTCTAATGGCGTTGTACAATCTTTCATGTCTATTTGAACTGGTAAGTTAATCCATGGTTCACTATCCCATCTGATAGATAGTACCTCTGACAATGCAGCTTTTCCTACTTTCCAGTACTACAGTGCAGTGTCAGCCTCAAATTCCCACTGTTGTCAATCTGCACTATACTTGAACTGCTGTATCCCCCTGTTGGATCTTGGCAGGGACAGTAGGCTGGCTTTAAATTCAGTAGTCCAGATCTGATACAGTCAATCATTGAAAGAAAGGCTTGTATTTATGCAGTGTCTTTCTCATCCCCTAATCCTTACAAAGCATTTTACAGCCTACATAAGAAATGTGGCAGCCAGTTTCCACGCAGGAATCTCCCACAAGCAACAACGTGAAAACAAAATAATTTGTTTTATGTTGTGAGGTGCGCAGGAAATATTGACCAGGACACCAGACAAGCTTTCATGCTCTTCATTAAACTGGAAAGGATGCAAAAGAAGATTTTCAAGGAAGTTACTGAGACTGGAAGTTTTGAGTTAAAGGGATAGGCTGGGACTTTTGTTCCCTGGAGCATAGGAGGCTGAGGGGTAATCTTATAGAGGTTTATAAAATCATGAGGGCCATAGATAAGGTGAATAGCCAAGGCCTTTTAGGGGAAAGATTTAAAAGGATCCTGAGGCAACTTTTTTACAGAGGGTGGTGTGTATATGGAATGAGCTTCTAGAGGAAGTGGAAGGTGCAGGTACAATTACAACATTTGGACAGGTACGTGGATAAGAAAGGTTTGGAAGGATATGGGCCAAACACAGACAAATGGGACTAGTTCAGTTTAGGAAACCCGCTCAGCTGGTTTGGTTGGATGGGTTGAGCCAAACGGCCTGTTTCCTGTATGACTGTATGAACACTCGGGGTTAATGTGTCATCCAGCGGCCTGCAGCATACATCATCCTAGATTATGGGCCCTTGATTCAGCAGTGGGACTTGAACCCACAACCTTCTGACTCAAAGGTATACGTGCTAGCCATTGGTCCACAATGCCATAGTTAACTGAGCTCACATGCCCAGCTATCAGATTACAACAACTGGACTCAGGCAGAAGAGGCAAAACATCAGCCAGGCTTCCTTCTTCCAGTTCTAGGGACCCTAGCTCCACTATCCACAAGAATTCAGCCATGATAAGGCAGCTTTCTGGATGCTCATTGCTGCAGCATCATACAGTCACAAGAGATAGCAGATGATGTGTCTATGTAAATATATTCCAAGCAGGAAGGAGGGTGGGGCTTTCTATCCACAACTAATTGCGGAATTGTATCCTAAATCTCTCCAGGATAGGCCACCACAGTACCAGTGATGACAGCTCAGCCTATCGATCTGTAGATGAAGTAAACTACTGGGACAAACAGGACCACCCCATCTCGAGGCTCCGACACTACATGGTGAACAAGGGCTGGTGGGATGAGGAGCAGGAAAAAGCTTGGAGGAAGCAATCCAGGAAACAGGTAGGTATTACCACTGACTTTGTTCAGCACAAAAAATAGATAGTAAACACTTCCCTATAAACTAACAGGACACAGACTTCATCTTGTCCTTTGTTGGAATGTCCTGAGGATGTGAGAGGCTCTATAACAATGTAAAGTTTTTTTTTGTTACAGTCTTTCACATAGAATTGGAACTCGGTACTGCATCCTAATTGAATCAGGTTTTGTAAACCCATGATTTTGACAAAAGTTGATGGGATTCACATTTTGTATTGTATATTGTGTTATTCAGCCACACAATGCTGGCAAGGTGGCTCACGTTTATAAATAATACTTGATCCTTGTGATCCCTAGATTTATTTTGATTTCCTAAAGGAGCAAGAGTTTTTTTTTGTTTGTCTCTTATCAGATGTATGCTTCAATTTTTTTCTTTTTTGTTTTTAAACCTCTGTATAGGAGATTATGTGGCTGTAAGAGCCCTGGGGTGAGGAATGTCATGCCCTGACCACCAAATTTCATGCCAGGCTTGATCAGTCAGCTGCTAACTGAGTTCTAGCAGGGTAATGGCAAGTCAGCTGATCAGTGCTCAATAGTGTGAGCTCGTCCTCTTTTGCATCGGGAGCTCTGAGGGAACAAAGAGATTTTGGATTTCTTGGCTTGTCCGCATCACTTAAAGTCAGAAGACAGCATGTGATCAATAAGACTAATGGAATGTTGGCTTTTATCTCAGGGGAGCCATAATACAAGGGCAAGGAAGAATTGCTTCAGTTATAGCAAGCATTCTGATGCAAGTCACAGGGTACTAGAGTGAGACCATTTAAAATGCTGGCATTAATTCCAGTTGAAAAGAAACCTCACATACAATAACATGTGGTACTTTGCATGTGTATATTCATTTAGCATCTACCAGCAGTCACAGCAACCAAAAAAATTCACGCACTCGGAGATAGTAGGAACTGCAGATGCTGGAGAATCTGAGATAACAAGGTGTAGAGCTGGATGAACGCAGCAGGCCAAGCAGCATCAGAGGAGCAGGAAAGCTGACGCTTCAGGCCTAGACCCTTCTTCAGAAAACGCACTCCATCTTTTTGTCTTGCCAACAAATGCCTAAGCCACACAAGTATGACTACTGAGATTACATACCAATTCCAGTGACTATTGCTCCATTTCTATTTGTGAATCGGAAATGCAAGCAGCTGGCTTGCAGGGTCAGCTTATGTATGGGGCACAGAACCAGGGTCAGGCGCCAGTGGACATTGCTCCGGTTTGGCCATCACATCTCAGGAAGGGCATTTGTCTTGGAAGTAGCTACAAGACTGGTTCACAAGAATACTGTGGGAGCTTAAAGGATTAACTTATGAGAATAGGTTGCATATACACTTGTTGGGCTGAAGGACCTGTTTCCACACTGTAGGGATTCTATGATTCCAGGAACACAAGACATAAGGTGTTTGCGGATGGAATGATGGGCGAGTGAGTGAGCAAACATCTAGAAAACAGAGTATAATGTAGAAAATGTGAAGTTGATCACATTGGTAGAAAGAATGAGGAAGCAGAGTGTTACTTAAACAGTGAATGATTGAGGAATTCTGAGGTTCAGAGGCATTTAGATGTTCTAATGCCCAAGTGTCAAAATGTTGGTACGCAAGTACAGCATGTGATCAAGAGGGCTGATAGGATGCTGTCCTTTATTATGAGAGTTAATGAACATAAAAATAAGGATATTATGCTGCAGTTACACAACGTTGGTGAAATTACATCGCAAGTACCGTTTTGTGCGTGCCATTTTGGTGTCCTCCTTTACAGAAGGATGCTAATGCAGTAGAGGCACTTGTATGTAAGATCCTGAATGATCTCGACAAAGTGGACATGGAAGGGATATTTCCACTTGTGGATCAGTCCAGAACTAGAGGGCACTGTTTTATAAATGAGGGGCTGCCCTTTCAGGACAGAGATGAAGAGAGTTTTTTTCTGTCTCAGAGACTTTGGAACTCATTGCTTCAGAAAGTGATGGAGGCAGGGTTATTGAATATTTTTAAGACCGAGGTGGATAGATTCTTGTTAGGAAAGGAATTGAAGGTTATCAGAGGGTAGATGGGAATGTGGAATTTGAAACACAAACAATTCAGCCTTGATCTAATTGAATGGCGGAGCAGGATCAAGAGGCAGAATCAGGAGGTCTACCTGTGCTCCTGTTTTGTATGTTCATATGTAAGCATGTCTTGAAGTCAGAAGGTGAGGAAGTGAAGAGTTTGAAGGGATAAAGGGGTGGATACAGAAATCCTGCTTCCCTGGTACAGGAGTCCAGACAACAGGGCATCTTTGGAGAGAAATGAAGAAGGGTCACTGGACCGGAAACATTAACTCTGATTTCTCTCCACAGGTGCTGCTAGACTTGCTGAGTTTTCTAGAAGATTCTGTTTTTGTTTCTGATTTCCAGCATCTGCAGTTCTTTTGGTTTTTCCCTCAGAAGAACCTCAGAGCAGCTGTGTAGCTTAAAGGGAACACTGGTCTCCATTTCACTCGTCTTTCTAGGATCTGAGGAGGGGGAGAGTGGCAACGGTGTCATAGGAAACCCTTTTTTCAGTGGTTGCAAGCATTGCTGACGAGATTGACATTTGTTGTTATCCCTAATTCTAAGTGTTAGTGAACTGCCTTCTTGGGTTGTTACAGGCCATGGTAGCTCACTGGTTAGCACTGCTGCCTCACCGCACCAGGGACACAGGTTCAATTCCACCCGTGGGTGACTGTCTATGTGGAGTTTGCACATACTCCCTGTGTCTGCGAGGGTTTCCTTCCACAAGCCAAATTGCCCCATAGTGTCCAGGGACATGCAGGCTAGGTGAGTTAGCCATGGGAAACACAGAGTTGTGGGGATGGACTAGGGGGTTGGATCTGGGTGGGAAACTCTTCAGAGGGCCAGTGTGGACTCATTGGAATGAATGGCCTGCTTCCACACTGTAGGGGCATAGGTACACCCTACAGTGGAGGTTTGTTAAATCTGTGGAGCTTTCTAGGTTGGTTTGGAGGGCAGTTAAAAGTCCACACTGCTGAGGGTCTGAGTCACATAGAGGCCAGACCAGGTGAAACAAGAGTCACGTTGAAATGTTAACTTTGTTTCTCTCTTCACAATTGCTGAGTTCATCTAGCACTCTGTTTTTATGTCAGATTTCTAGTATCTGCAGTATTTTACTATACAGAGCTGGGAGATACGTATTTAAAAAAAATTTCTTGCTGAGGCGGTACTGTTATTTGGCGAGTGATATTCTGTAAAATGGCATAACGCCATGCACTGTAACTAAAACAGTGTCTTTTGCTGTAGGATGTGATAACAGTGAATGCGTTAGCCTTCATTGTTTGGCTTCAGACCCAGCATTCAATCATTTCCCTTCACCCAGAGCTCCAATCAAGAGTTTGCTATGTGGACACAGCAATGACACTTCCTTTTAATTTCCCGATCTTTCAGTTGTGGCCTCTGTGTTATTCAAAACTGCGTAGGACCAGGGTCTTTCACACTGGCTATCTAGCTGGCAGATATAATGTCAGCCTTCAGTGGCATGGGTGAATTTTCTGCTTGCTGACAACAACCCAGAGTTTCAAACAGGCAATACAATATAATTGTTGTCAGAGGTCTGTCATGCCCAGGCACCTCACCTCAGCAAGAAACACAAGAAACAGGAGATAAAGCTGAAAGTCAACTGCAGATCCAGTGGCTCTGAATAGGAAATTGCTACTTCTGGATTATACGTGAGAGAGAGAGAGTGGATGTTGTGCCAATGTTATGTCATCCCTGCAATGGGAGTGTAGGTGAGAGCGTGTTGTTCTCTGCACGCCATCAAAGGGTGGTTTAACAGCAATGTCAATGGATCCTAGGGATCCACAGATGCTGCAGGTTTGAAGCACAGAATACATTTTAAACCCAAGAAGGGAGGTTCCCTAATGATGACACTGGAAAAACGCCACCCATTTAACCAATTGATTCTGACTCTGCAATCTCTTTTGCCAGGTCATGGAAGCCTTTGAGGAGGCCGAACGGGCGATGAAACCAAAACTGGATCACATGTTTACCGACGTGTATGAAGAGACCCCAGTCAGCCTCCAGAAACAACAGGAGGCACTGCAAAGGCACTTAAAGATGTATGGGGAGCATTACCCCATCGACCATTATGAGAAATAGACGGACTGTCCACTGCACCGCCCCCCATCCCCACACACACACCCCCAACCCCACAAGTCTGCTTGCCTATGAATTTCTGTTTCATGTCCTGTCACAAAAGCTACTCACCCCTCTCCCTTCCCAATCCCCACTTCACCCCACCCTCTCTCCCCCCTCAACCTCTAATCAGAGTGCTCTGTTAGTAAGGTTTATAGGAATTTGATGTTGCAGATATTCGGTGAAATCCTGGTCTTCCATGATCACCTCATCCCAAACATGGGAATGATGTCATTGAGAGGTCATTTCAATAAAGCACTGTGTGTGATGATCAGTCACCCAGGAGCAGGGTGAATGTTGTAGCATTTCAGGAGATCAGAATTATTCACTGCATTCTGCTTACAGAAAGGGAGGAGGAGACAGTAGAAACTGAAGACCTGTGAGAATAGGCTGATTGTCCCTTTTGGATTTCAATGTTCTATCAGTTCCAGGACGTTGAGCTATAAACAGAGCTCTGCGGGGGAGGTGGCCTGTTCTATTTACTCATGTGTTTGATCTGCAGACTGAATTTATCTTCTTACTCGCACAAATTCACTAGCTAAGGGTTTGCAATGGTGCTGTTTTGGCTTGTGATATGTAGCTGGACCAGAGCAATAATCCCTCTTGAACACTACCTAACGTTTCAGTTTCCTCAATGTACTCATCTGCAATATTAGCAAGTGATTCTCTGGGTTCTCCAGAAAACCTTGTGAGTACTGAGCCCCAGAACCAACACACCCCACCCAGCCTGTACGAAATAGCATAAATGCAATCTCGACCAGTGAGCATGGTAGGCTGGTCACTGGCCTTGTTGCTCCTGAGCTTTCTGCAGGACTTGACATGGCTGTACATGGACACACAGCAGTAATGCACATTTCTGCCACCAGCACTGCCTATTCTACATTGCCGCTGTAATATTCTGAGATGATTTTCTTTGCTGAAGATCAGATCTTTTCACAATTTTTCTAAAGCAAAAATGTTGTTCCTGGTGTTTAAGATCCAAATTACATCTCACTTATTATGGGTTAGTTGGAAAGTGCATTGCTAGATGCTGCAAATGTTTTGTTTGTCAAATAGGATAAGGTTTGAATCACTTTCGGAAAGGGCTTCCTTGGTGCAATTGCACGCACAGACTTACTTGTAGCTATTTAATGACCAAGATCAAATCCTCCTGAAATCATAGCTTCTTGGGTTTACGGACTAGATCTTAAATTTGACTTGTGCCACAGAGTTAGAAAGGACTGGAGCAGGATAGGGAGGCACTGGTATTCAATCACTGACCATGATTGACCCTCTTGTAGGGAATCAATCAACGTTACTGCCTGGAAGAGTACACAGGTGGGGGAGGTCCACAGCAGCATCCCTTTGTTAATGTTTCTTCAACTGGTGTTTATTTACAAACAAGAAGTTGATGCAGGTCACTTCATCAGTGTTGTCCACATGAATTTCATCAATAAACACCATGATTATTAGTGTAACAGTCTGTGAAGTTGCCAGATTTGTGCATCAGTTAATAAAAAGCTGCAGGTTGCAGTTAACTTCTGGGGAGTTGTCAGTCCTGCTAATTGTGGTTACAGATGTAGATTGATAAGTCAGAGAGATGTACGGTACAGAAATAGATCCTTCCGTCCATCTCGTCCATGCTGACCAAATATCCCAAATTAATCTAGTCCTATTTACCAGCATTTGGCCCATATCCGTCTGAACCCTTCCTATTCATATACAAGTTGTAATGTACCTACCAGCTCCCTTATTAGATCCAGTATGTCATTTCCAGCTGACCAGGTCTCTAAGATAGGCCCTGCTGTCCATAGTAATAGGTGTTTGATAAACTGAGCACTATATTTCTTATATGCTTTCATGGGATGTGGGTGTCACTGTTACCCATCTTTACTCTTGAGCTGGGTCGCTGTTCAGACCATTTCAACTTCAACAACGGGGTGACTCAGTGGTTAGCACTGCTGCCTCAGAGCACCAGGAACCCAGGTTCGATTCCACCCTTGGGCAACTCCCTGTGCAGAGTTTACACATTCTCCCTGTGTCTGTGTGGGTTTCCTTTGGGTGCTCTGGTTTCCTCCCACACTCCAAAGATGTGCTGGTTCGTTGGATTGGCCATGCTAAAATGCCGTGTAGTGCTCAGGGATGTGCAGGCCAGATGGGTTAGTGAAGGGATATGTAGGGTTACAGGAATAGGGTTGGGGGGGATGGGTCTGGTTGGGATGCTCTTCGGACGGTTACTCTGGACTCAATGGGCTGAATGGCCTGCTTCCACACTCTCTGCATTCTATGATTCTATAATTTCAGAAGGCATCTAAGAGTCTGCCATTTCACTGGAGTTAAATGAAGGCCACACAGGCTAAGGATGGCAGATTTCCAACCTTAAAAGACATTAGTGAACTAATGGTTAGCAGTTTATTGGTCGCCATTAATGAGATTAATTTCAGACATACTTATTAAATTTTAAATTTCAACATCAGCCATTGTGGGTGTTGAACCCAAACCCTCAGATCATTAGCCTCGGCCTCTGGATTATCACTACACCACTGCCTCTGCATCGTGGAGTGAGCACTCTGGGAAAAGAACATAAGAACTAGGAGCAGGAGTAGGCCATCTGGCCCCTTGAGCCTGTCCTGCCATTTAATAAGATCATGGCTGATCTTTTTGAGACTCAGCTCCACTTACCCGCACCATAACTCTTAATTCCTTTACTGTTCAAAAATGTATCTAGCCTTGCCTTAAAAACATTCAGTGAGGTAGCTTCAACTGCTTCACTGGGCAGGGAATTCCACAGATTCACAACCCTTTGGGTGAAGAAGTTCCTCCTGACCTCAGTCCTACATCTGCTTCCCTTTATTTTGAGGCGATGCCCTCTAGTCCTAGTTTCACCTGCTAGCGGAAACAACCTTCCTGCCTCCACCTTATCTATTCCCTTAATAATCTTATATGTTCTGTAAGATCTCCCCTCATTCTTCTGAATTCCAATGAGTATAATCCCAGTCTACTCAGTCTCTCCTCATAATCCAACCCTCTCAACTCTGGAATCAACCGAGTGAATCTCCTCTGCACCCCCTCCAGTGCTAGTATATCCCTTCTTCTCCAGTAAGGAGACCAAAACTGCACACAGTACTCCAGGTGTGGCCTCACCAGGACCCTATACAGCTGCAGCATAGCCTCCCTGTTTTTAAACTCCATCCCTCTAGCAATGGCAGACAAAATTCCATTTGCCTTTTTAATTACCTGCTTCACCTGCAATCCCACCTTCAGCGATTCATGCACAAGGACACCCAAGTCCCTCTGCACAGCAACGTGCTGCAATTTTTTACCATCTAAAACATAGTCCATTTTGCTGTTATTCCTACCAAAATGGATGACCTCACACTTACCAACATTGTACTCCATCTGCCAGACCTTTGCCCACTCACTCAGACTATCTATATCCCTCTGCAGACTTTCAGTGTCTTCTGCACACTTTGCTCTACCACTCACCTTAGTGTCATCTGCAAATTTTGACACACCACACTTAGTCCCCAACTCCAAATCATCTATGTAAATTGTAAACAATTGAGGTCCCAACACTGATCCCTGAGGCACACCACTAGCCACTGACCGCCAACCAAAAAAACACCCATTTACCCCTACTCTTTGCTTTCTACTGGTCAACCAATCCTCTATCCATGCCAATACAATACCTGTAATACCGTGCAACTTTACCTTATGTAGTAGCCTTTGGTGTGGAACCTTGTCAAATGCCTTCTGGAAATCCAGATACACCACATCCATAGGTTCCCCATTGTCCACCATGCAAATAATGTCCTCAAAGAATTCCACCAAATTAGTTAAACATGACCTACCCTTCATGAACCCATGCTGGGTGTTCCCAATGGGACAATTTGTATCCAGATGTCTTGCTATTTCTTCCTTAATGATAGATTCAAGCATTTTCCCCACTACTGAAGTTAAGCTAACTGGCCTCTCATTACCTGCTTTTTGTCTACTTCCTTTTTTAAACAGTGGCGTAACATTGGCTGTTTTCCAATCTGCGGGAACCAACCCAGTAGGCCAGTGCTCTAGATTGAACTTCACAATTTTAAGAGGAAGTATGCGGGGGGGAGGTGTCAGCTCGGTGAAAGTATGTCTTTGTGGGTGATTCACACCACCCTAACCCCTCTCACATTTCTCCCATGTTGTGTGTACTTTATGGTAAGCAGCTCTAATGTCAAACTGTGAAGTATTCTGTAACAATGTAATGTTATACAGCAGGATGTATTCATCTCCCAAGAGATGCTGGCTGCTTTCTTTGCTGAGTTCATAACAAAAAAGGACATAGGACTGTAAATTCTAGCTGTGCAATCAATGGCTTCGTGGAGGGGTTTCACTTCCACAATACCGTGATCACAAGGCACAGACATTCACTCTTAGCGCAGGCTCCATGCTCTCCTCCATTTCCAATACTCCATCGACCTGTCTCATCGCACTCTTTCCTCAGAGCAGTAAATTGAGTAATGTTAATGCACTATCCTATTACATTATCGAGTCCAAGTCAGAAGTTTGTCGCTGCAAGTCCCACTCCAGCAAAAACCCTGTATCCTGCAGTATTGACGGACTCTGTGTATTGCAAGTCATTTCATTACACAATGGATTACTGTGTTAGTGTTATGGAAGTGGCTGGTCTCCTTTGATGGCCACCGTTAATGTAACTCAGAGGGCGTGGTGCAAGCTGGTGATTATTTGGCTAGAGCCTAGCACCATTGATATTACAGAAGATTCCACATTCATGCAGACCTAATTGTTGGTTTGTGGTGTCAGAACTCTGCTCAATGTTGCTGACCTGTGGCAAATTACAGACTGCACAAGTTGTTGACACCTCTGGAAATTTGCTCAATTCTTTTGCCTGCCTCTCTGGGTTCTGCTGTCGCCATTGAAAGGAGACATTGCTGGCACACAAAATGACACAAACAAGCTGGCTTTAAGGATTCCCTACAGCACTTAGCACAAATGGCAGATATGATTTGAACCATTTTCTTAAAGAGTCTTACTACAATTATCGATGAAGGACTTTCCAACAAGCGTACTATTTTGCTCACCACAGCCCACCTCGTCTTCCTGTCTGTATGTGTAATTTGTTTATAAACACAGATTTTCTCTTCCTAAAAGACTTAATCTGGTTTGTGTACTGGACAAAGGTCTATTTTGCCTGAACGGAAACAATTATCACAAAAATTCCCCAGGTCTCTTTACAATCTTCCTTGTCTGCAGTACCTGACCTCCCTATTAACAATGCTGGTAGAACTCTGCACTGTGAACTACTAACATCAAAACACTTCGTTCCTTTTTGACTCTCGTTTTCCGTTTTAAGTTGGCCAGTGATGTTGTAAACTTTCTATCAGAAAACTGTTGTCAATATGAAATTCCCCTGAATCCTGCTTTGATTTTTTGGCACACTAGCAGTGTGTTTTGCAGCTGTTAACATATAACTCTAAGGAGATCTGATAGATGATAGCATAGCTGTAGAATTGAGAGCTGTTTCGTTGATGTGGGACTCGGAGCAGAAAAAGGGTTTGATTATCAACTAATGTTCACACTGAGTGTTGAACTAGAAGCAGCAGAACAAATCCCAGTTTCAAATTTATCTTCAAAAATGCTGTTACAAAATAACGTTATAGCTGCATGTTTAATCATTGCTTTTTTAAAAAATAAAAATCAAAAGACAGTGAAAAAATGTGCAATCTCACGTTAGTGTTAAGGGTGTTGGTTGGTAACGCTGGTTCTGAAGCACAGTAAAGGTAATGACTGAAGGTGTCTTTTTATACAGGGGTTCTAGCTAATGTTGGGGTTGGTGCAATGTCTCCAATCTTCTAGATTTAATTCTTACTGGCTGTAGAGCTGAATTAAATACCTTTCTATCACAATAATAGTCAAATTAAGCCCCCTTGTGTCATTGTGTTTCATTCCTTCAGACAGGCAACTAAAAGTATTTTTGAGCTCAAGATAAAAGAATGTGAAGGTACCGGTATTGGACTGGAGTGAACAAAGTCAGAAATCACACGACACCAGGTTATCGTCCAACAAGTTTATTTGAAATCACAAGCTTTCGGAGCACTGTTCCTTTGTCACCTGACAAAGAAGCAGTGCTCTGAAAGCTTGTGATTTCAAATAAACCTGTTGGCCTATAACTTGGTGTCGTGTGTCTTCTGAAGAAAGACAGAAGTTCTTGAGTGATTTTAACACAAAGTTTCTAGAGCTAGGGAGAGTCTCTGGAATTTCAAACATGTGGCACGAAGGCTGTCTCATGTATTGGGAATCTAAGCTCTCTCGAGTTGTGACCTATGGTTTCTTGAACACAGCTTTGTAACTACAGAAATTACTCTGAAGGGAAGCCACGAGAATGCCATGCACTTTGATCAGGTATTCTGCAAGTGCGTAACCCATTCAAACGTGACTTATTTCAGCAGTGCAGGCAACAGCCAGTTGTTGCTGTGATGGAATGTGAAGATATTAATAATAAAAGTAATATTAAAGATTGTATATTTCACTGACTTTGTGTCTGTTTTCATTTGTAGTCCTTTTTATTTTAGAGAATGTATGTTTGTAAAATGATCATTTTACTGCCCTAATGACTTGGATCCTGAGAAATCAAATCTTACACCGGAATTGAATTTCAATTCTGTCAATTTTTTTTAGAAAAGTTAGCATCAAGCAATCATGGCCATGAAACTGCCAATTTATCATAATAACTCATGTCATTTAGGGAGGAAAATCCGCTGTCTTCACACTACATGACCACAGAGACACAGCAATGTGGTGGAACCTTAACTGCTATCTGAATGAGCCCAGGCAAGAAAAGACATCTTTTCTAGGACATTTAGGGATGGGAGTAAACTGCTAAACCACAGTCTCCTCCCATTTGTTTCAATAGCTTGAGTTTAAAATATTAACAAAGTGTGGGCAGCCAAACAAAGGGACTTGATAGAGCCTCGTGAATTGAGGAGTTTATTTTTGAGAGGGGTGTCTCCACCTTCCAGTAAAATGAAATGACTTGTCAAACATCTGAAATAAAGTCCTTACTCCGACAGTTTTTGATAATGGAGCAGTGATCTTTAGCATAAAAACTGCTGCAAAGGGGAAGAACAGAGAGAGAGAGAGAGAGAGACAGAGTACACATTTACAAGAAGCCATATGAACAAGTTTTGCAGCAAAGACTGGGAATTGAAGAGTTTTGCTGCTGCTTTGGTTTGGATATGTTACCATCAAGATACTCATTAGCCGCATTAAGGCAGTTCTGCAGGACAGTACTGTTCAAGTGACAACTATCTCCAGGGACTTGAATGAAATACAGCGCTGGTTGAAACTGATTCACTTTAGCTGAAAAAGTGAGAAATCTTATGTACCAGGTGCTGAGTTGGAGAACTTTGGAACCACATGTAATGCAACACCGCAGGCCATATGTTTGTTGTGTCAATTATTGAAAGTGAAATGTTCATTTTTATGTACGATTTGCCTGTGATTAGCTTGTACTTTTAGTGACTGTAAATGGTCTCCATTGAATAATATAAATATTCAAGTAAGACATCGATAAGCAGACTTGATAAAATACACAGATTTTAATCAAATAATCAATTTAATTAACAAATAACAAAAAAAAACCTTTGGTAATCTCTGGTCACATTCTGTCACTGGTTTGGTGCAGTTCAGCATCAAAATCTTTATAAACCTCCTTCTTGGTGACTCATTCATTTCTCCCGAGCGTAATCTCACAGATGATGAACATCTAGGTATTCCTTTCACTGAACCTACCCAGCCACTTATTTATCCTTCTCAGGATGTTGGACCCTCCCTAGTACATTGGTTCAATGGCCAAAAAGCAGATGGCCATTATCGACCAAGAGGTGAGATATATAGGAAACGTTACTTGAGGGGGACCCGTCACACAACTGAGAGAAATCTAATTTTTCCCTTGCCTGCACCCCATCTGGCTGCACAAGGGCAGAGAAGCTGGTGTCAAAAACTCTTCTCAATCAAAGTACAGGGTCATTTGGTTCTTTGGACAGTACATCCCTAACAAGGCTATAATTTCTTCACCCATCCCTGATTGCCCTTGAAATGGTGGAAAGAATTTTCTACCTGTTTGAGCCGCATCCTGAATGGATCTTGAACCCAAAGCTTCTACCTCATAGACAGGTTAGCTGCCTACTGAGCCACATGATTTCTTTGATGAACTACAAACATAGGCCAGACAGGGAGCCGGTGACTCTACAAAAAGCCAAGAAGCAGGCAGGCAGCAAGTTCAATTCAGCCTGTCTTGAAGGACACAACCTTTTCAAAGATTCTTCCTTAAGCTATTTTCTGAAGAAGGGTCCCGACCCGAAACATCAACTTTCCTGCTCCTCTGATGCTGCCTAGCCTCCTGTGCTCCTCCAGATCCATACTGTGTTATCTCTTCTTCCTTAAGCTGGTGGTTTTTATTCCTCTTTTTATTAAGAAGTGGGAAGAACTCCCAGGCTAACTACCAGTTTAGACCATATCACAAATGCTCCTGCCATAGCCATCATAGCCTGATGTGGGACTCAAACCTAGTGCTTCAGACCGAGAGGCAGGGACACTACCTCTGCACCACAAGACCACCCAGAAACATTCTATAACAGCACACTTTTTTAAAAAATCAACCTGATCAGAGACGTTATGACACACCTCTAGTGCAGCAGGGACTTGAATCAAGGCCTCCTGGCTCAGAGTGGAGACACTACTATTGCACCACAAGAGCCCCTACACAATAACGTGTTCTCCTAAGAGATCTTCCAATGAACCTATTCAGAGATGTTAGTACATACCTCTGGAGCAGGTAGGATTTGAGTCCAGGCTTCCTGGATCAGAGGTACGGACACTACCACTGTGCAACAAGGCATCCCAGATTTGCCTCTTATATCACATAGAAAGTGTACTCCCAGTTGTATACCATTTGCTTCCCAATTATACCTCTAATTGCAAAAAATGCTGCCGCCTCTCAGCAGAGCAAGCAGCGCTTGTAAAGAAAGTTATCATATGAGTTGGACGACCTTTCATCAGAACTGGAAGAGCTGAAGAGTATCTGATTGATCTTGAAGCAGCCACACCCTGTTAGCTTGAGCTACACCTTTTGCAGGCATGTCTTTTATACCATCAGCTTTCAGAGAGTGGAAAATTTCTCCTATTTTCAGGAATCTGCAGCTCTGACAGGGAGGAAAACAAAGTGGGAGTCAGTGGGAATCTTTCAGAAAACCACTTCACAGCTGATGCTTTGGGGAAAGGATGATCGTCTCCTTGGCTGGAGGCATGGGTGGGGGAAGACACTAGCACTTGAGGTCTGGGCTGTGCAGAGCTCTCCAGAGTAGGGTGGTTTGCCTGGGGCTGCGCTGATGGACGAGGATCAGTTTGGTGTGGGCGCAGGGATTGTTTCGGTGCTTGGGCTCGATGTCAAATGTCTGGAAGCCCGGGTGATGCAGTGAGCTGACCTCGAGTGCCATGAAGCACATCCCAGTGAAAACGTCATCGATGGGAAAGAATGGGATATAGTGAGAAATGATGTAGAGCGATCTGACCAGGTTCCCCGAGTACAGGAACCCCCCACCACCAGCGTAAGCTGGGTAGGCCCCATCGTAGAAGGATTTGGGAACGCTGTACTTGCTTTTCTTGTCTCGGAGTGGCGTGGCATTCACGATGGTCTGTCCAACATACAGCTGGCTGCTTTTGTTGCTCAGTGACTTCAAGTACGCCACCATGACGGGTGTGTTAACAAACACGTCGTCATCCCCCTTGAAGATGTACCGGACGTGCGGGCAGTGGACTGTGGCCCACTTGAGGAACAGGTAGTCCTTCAAGGTGAGGTTAAACAGAGTGTCTTTGAACTCCCACTGGAGGAGATCCCCGTACAGCCTGTCCTCCAATTCCAGCAGCCTCCAGAGGTCAGGGCCATCGCCCACGTTGGACGCCGAGCCCAGGAGGAAGATGGTACGGACCTGGACACCGTCCACGGTGCCCTCTTTACCCCAGGTCTCGCGGATGGCCTGCCTTCTCTCAAAGTTCGCGGCTATGGACTTGATCACAAGGAGCAAGAAGGTGCTATTATCACACTTGTCTGGGTGGTTGATTCGCTGGAGGTAGTCCTTGCAGTTCATGTAGCGCAGGAAGTCCCCGTGGGACTCGGAGAAGGAGTAGGCCTCGAGCACCGCAGGCCCCATCCCGGCCTCGATGCAGTTTGACGAGGGGCTGTAGGAGGAGGTGCCATTGAGCAACAGGCGGTCGAGCAGCTGCAACATCTGGTGCTGCCTGTGGTTCCAGAAACTGTTCTTCTCGGGGATAAATCTCCTGAAACTGGAAGAAATGTTGATCAGAGAGATCTCGCGTTCATTAGTGGCCAGGCTGGGATAGGAGACGTTTGTAATGTTCAGGCTATAATTGTAGACGTATACTTTCTGCACAGGAGCTTGCATCAGGTCTTTAGAATGCCAACTCAGAAGAACATGGAGCATACAAAGACCTAACAGAGCCATCACTGCTAGGCGTAGCTTGGAGTGTGCCATTCCCCTCTTTAACCTGAAATGGGAATGAGAAAGCATTAGAACAAAGTTCTCATCCAAATGTACAACAACAATTTCAATTTATATAGCACAGTAAAAGGAACCTTTCCAAAACAAAATTTCTACAACAAGTCCATGGAGGGCGCAGCTGCAGTAGTGCTAGGGTTTTAAAGAATGTCTTAAATCAAGTGATGCAGAGTGGGATTTCCAAAGCTCAGGGCCCAATGGCAGAGCAGTGGAAAGCAGGGATACTCAGAAGGCCAGGGTTAGAGAAGCACAGATATCTCAGAGGGTAGTGGGACTGGAGGAGGTTACAGGTGAGACTGTGGAGGGGTTTAGACAACAGGACTGGAATACATACCCCACCCACTCAGCATCCAAATGGTGCATTAGAATGCAAGTCTAATTTATATTTGCCCCTCGGTATATGGTGATCACACTGGAATCCAGAGGGGAGGGGAGATGACCTTTTGGCTCCTGTGCCTCAGATCTGCATTAAAATGGTAGTTTAGGACCATATGGTCTCTATTGCTTAGAAGTGCTAAGAATCTGACTTGAACTCAACAAAATAAAGACATTTCTTAAGGGCCAGGACAGGGTTGACTCTGGCAGTACACTACCCCAGCCTGTATGGATAATCAAGAGCTAAAGGATTGTAATTCCAGAGAAAGGGATCATCCATACCAGACTGAGAGGTGGAATTTCTTCACACAAAGGATTGCAAATTCAGAATTCTCCACGCTGGGGAGCTGTGGATTTTCAGTCATTGAGTATATTTAAGACATTTTTAAATTGTAATGGATATGGCAGGAAGCTAGGAGTTGAAGTAAAAGATTGGCCATGATGAGGTTGTTGACTTGCTCGCCAAGCTGACTTGTTTTCGTAAAGACGTTTCGTCACCATGCTAGGTAACATCGTTAGTGAGGCCTCCAATGAAGCGGTTATTTTACTCCACTTGGAATTTATACTATTCAGACGGTTATGGTGAGTAGTGTCATTTCCAGTTTTCATGAATTTCATCTCCGCGAATACATTGTTGATGAGGTAGTGGGTCTCTTCTAGTTTGTTGCGTTTAATAATTACAAATGTGTCGTCTATGTATCGGATCCACAGTTTAGGTTGAATGTGGGGGAGGGTGGTGTGTTCTAGTCTTTGCATGACTGCCTCTGCAATGAGTCTATAGGTGAGTGACCCCATGGGTGTGCCATTGATCTGTTTGTATATGTGACCACTAAAGACGAAGTGTGTGGTGAGGCACAAGTCTAGTAGTTTCAGTATGTTGTTATTACTGATGGAGCTGCTGGCCTGCATTCCTGTTCCTCTAGTAATGTGGCCTGTGTTTCTTTGGTTAGTGGGATGTCAATTGATGTGAATAAAGCTGTGACACAAAGGATACCATAATCTCCTCATCACTGATTTTTATGTTCTTGAGGTTATTGGGGAATTCTTGGGTTGAGTGGATGGAATGCGGTGATCCGTTGACTAAGTGTTTCTGGAAATGACACTACTCACCAGAACGGACCGGACAGTATAAATTCCAAATGGAGTAGAACAACATCACTTCATCGGAGGCCTCACTTCATAGGAGTTCTTTAATTTTGTTTAGAGGGTGTGGTGGAGATGAACATCTCTGCCTGAAAAGGTGGTACTTAAATAAATCATCATAACATGAGGAAAGTTCCCTAAAATGCACTTGGAAGTGTTGTTACCTAGCATGGTGATGAAACCTCTGAATGAGAACAAGCCAGCTCAGCAAGCAAGTCAACAACACCATCGACAACCTGAGCTACAAATCTTTGCTAAAACTTTAAAGTGGCCATGGTTTTAGTAAACGGCAGAATAGGTCTGAGTGACTGTGTGGCCTACTCCTGATCTTCTCTCTAACAGTTTTGCTACATACTTTCACCATTATTTTCAAAGGTCTGCTAATATGGAGAACGGGTCCTCACAATTGGCAAACTCTGAGCCAAGAGCTCATTACAGTTCCCAGTTGAGTAATCCACCGCAGACTTCTCACATCTTAGGTTTCCTGCTCCCCAGTGTGTGTTCAACAATGTGAAATTATAGCATTTCCTGAAAACACAGTAAGGGCACAGTGGTTCAGTGGTTAGCGTGGCTGGCTCACAGCACCAGGGACCTGGGCTCGATTGTAGCCTTGGGCGACTGTCTGTGTGGAGTTTGCAGATTCTCCCTGTGTGTCTGCATGGGTTTCCTCCCAACGTCCAAGATGTGCAGGTTAGGTAGATTGGCCATGCTAAATTGCTCTGTGGAGTCCAGGGATGTGCAGGTTAGCTGTCGGAAATGCAGGGTTACATGGGTTGGATCTGGGTGGGATGCTCTTTGGAGGGCCGGTGTGGACACGATGGACCAAATGGCCTACTTCCACATTGTGGGGGTTCTATGATTCTATTCTATGATGTCACTACTGCAGTGAAAAAGCTTCTCTGTAAATCAATCAATACATTGTCACATGCTGAATGTTTCCTAACCCCACAGTGGGCCCTAGGAAGAGGAGAGGTTGTGGAGCTGTGGGAATGTCACTGGCTAATGCCCTGGGGTTTTGAGTTTAAACCTTACCATGGGAGATGGTGAAATCTGAATTCAGTCAAAATCTGAAATAAAAAGCTGAATGATGGCAGCTGTCATAAAAACCTTTCTGGCTCACTAAAGGGAAGGAAATCTGCCATCCTTACTCAATCAGGCCTATGTGTGACTCCAGACCCTCAGTAACATAGGTGACACTTTAACTGCCCTCTGAAATGCTTGAGCATGAGGCTGAGTTCCAGGGCAATTGGGGACGGCCAATAAATACAGGCCCGACTGGTGACACCCACATTTTATGTGTGAGTTCACATTTGAATCGATAATACTCAAGATATGATTCCAAATTCCTGGTCAAGTTGACACCTTTGTCTCTTACGTTTACAATTTTTTCAAGAGAAATCCTTCTGTGTCGGACAGTTATCCAGAAATCTGGGGAGGAGATGGAAGTCAGGAGCAGACTCAGTCATGGCTCTCATGATATAGGCTCACAATGAACAACAATGAGAACTGAGCCTTACAAAGAGAAAGAGAGAAGCTGAGAAAGACTTTATTTATACAGCACCTTAACACGAGTCGATAAAGAACGAGTGGATAAATCTCAGAGACCTGGCACTGAGTAATGAGCTGAATGGCCTCCTTTTGTGGCTCTAAATGTTACAGATGCCTCGCTGAAACTGAGCACAGAACCATCTCACAAACAACAAGTCAGATGAATGAAGGGTCTAGGCCCGAAACGTCAGCCTTTCTGCTCCGATGCTGCTGCTTGGCCTGCTGTGTTCATCCAGCTCTGCACCTTGTTGTCTCGGATTCTCCAGCATCTGCAGTTCCTACTATCTCTGAGTCAGATGAATCAACAGTTTTTAATCTAATTTTGGGTGAGATTGCAAAGAGGCGTATATATATCCAGAGGTTGGGACCCTGCAATAAATTGTTCACATACGAGTTCTTTTACACTGACTCAACAGTGCAGCTCTCCCACACTGCTGTAGTGTGGTACCCATTACCCTATTGCTTGTCCCACCAACCCTACCTGACTCACCCACTTACCCCCCTGGCACACCCACCATAACTACACACTCATTCACCTGTTCATTGAACTGCAGGTTACATTTCTGAAAGCTTTTCAATGTATAAGTGAATGGATATGTACTAGAAAACAGGCAGATAGAGGCATAAAAGGGTGGGGAGAGGGGATCTTGGCTCCTCCCTGCTTTGCAGAGGAATTCAGTTCCCAGAACACTCCACATTTCTTAAGAAGTCGGCATTGGAAAAGCTGACCAAAAACGCAGAGCTCAGTCAAAACGCAAAGCAGAGCAGCAATTGGACAGTAATTGCTGCAGCTCAGAAAGTTCAAGTCTTTGCTGCGTGTGGAAGCTTGCTAGAGGATGCATTGGCAGTGAAGCACCACAAGCTTTCCAAAGGTCATGGAAGGTGTTATATAAAATTCTCTTCTCTTTCCATATAAATTAGATTAAAATCTAGGGCTTTTCATGATCACACTAGAATATGTGAGTGTGTGTGTGTGGATTGGTCCATGCGCACGTGTGTGTGTGTGTGCACCAGATGTCTCAAAGCACCTAACGGCCAACGAAATTTTTAAAAGTTTTTAAGTACAGTCTTGGCTGTAACATAGGAAGTGAAGCAACCTCAAACAGTCATGTTACAATGATCAGATAATCTGTTGGATGGGTAAACACTGACTAGGACACCACAGAGAACGATCCCCTGCTCCTCTTCAATATTGTAGCCTGGGATCTTTACAATTTACCACGAAGCCTTGGTTTAACATCTCATCTGTAAGACAACAGTGCAGCACTGCCTCAGTCTCAGCCTTCCTTGTGTGTTTAAGCTGTGCTAGGAGTCATGAAGCTGGGAGCATGTGACTCAAGAGGGATATTGAAAACAACAAATGCTGGAGATCACAGCAGGTCAGACAGCTGGAGAGAGAGCAAGCTAACGTTTCGAGTCTAGATGACTTTTCATCAGAGCTGAAGTGAAGAGTGGAGGAGGCAGCATTTATACTTTGAGACAACAAGGTGTAGAGCTGGATGAACACAGCAGGCCAAGCAGCATCATAGGAGCAGGAAGGCCGTTTGTGTGGGGGTGGTGGGGCACAGAGTGCTGGGGGAGAAAAGATGTTGATAGTTCAGACTAAGTGATCGGAATGTGAGAATGGCAGAACAATAGTGTGTCTACCTGCCAGACTTGAAAGGACAGACAGTCCCACTGGGGTGAAGGGAAGGAAGAGAGGACGTGGTAATGGAGAATGTAACAAGATAAAAGAAAGGGAAGAAACACCATCCCATTTAATCTGAACTATCAACATCAACAGGGGCAGCACGGGGTTAAATACAAAGTAAAGCTCCCTCTACACTGTCCCCATCAGACACTCCTAGGACAGGGACAGCACGGGGTTAGATACAGAGTAAAGCTCTCTCTACACTGTCCCCATCAAACACTCCCAAGGGA